CGTTTATTCATTTTGTACAGAAGGGAACAGGAGAATGATAATGACATTAATTGTTAACAGTTACCAGTCTTGTTATGAGCTTTAAAAGAGTCCATGTGTGGGGGCTCTCCAAAATGATACCTGGTAAACATCAGGTCTCTGTGACCTAATATTAAGTAGTCTTACGTAGGTTATTATTCAAAAGGCCATTTGCTATGTAGACATTATGCTGAAGCACACGTTGTACCGTCTTAACTAATCTTACTAAAACCCCTGTGAATTAACAATCAATAAGGCTTAACTGATCTAAGAAATTTGTTTATTCAAGGAAGTATATCAAAGCTAAATTTAGGCTTTATTCCACATAATGGAATTTTAACTAATATATAATCTTTAAAATCTACTTTTTTCTCTTATTTGCATAAAGTGTAAAATTAAAAAGAACACATGGCAAAACTATATTTATGTACCTACACATACAAGCAGTACATATAATCTGGAAAAAAAAAAGATGGTTGAACTCCACATCATTTCTTAAGACATCATGGCAGAATGGCTTCATGAAATGCAGTTGAATGTCTTAATGGAGTTCCTTCCTATTCCTGCAAAGTGAGTACCTTAGGATGGACCTATAATTGTAACCTACAGAACCCAGCTCATGACAGGTCCTACCAAGTTTCTCCCAGCACCAAGATCCCTTTCTGTTTTATTCACCATCCTTTTCTGGTGACATAACATTCATGTGTAGGGCAGTTAAGTGCTTCCCAGTTTTCAAGCCTTTATTAAAGTTTTTTTTTTTATTTTAAGCTCTTGATAGTGCCGGGAAAGAGGGTAGAAAAGAGAAGCTGGAGGCTGGATCTACAGGATGAGAAGGGTAACAGTTAAACAGACTATCCTGTGAGCAGAGTTTTAGAAGCGGTCCACTCTCCTTCATCTTATCACAAATAGAGCTGTCCCCAAACAGAAAAAAAAACAACAAACAACAACAAATGAAGAACAGATTCAGCAACTCTTACAAAGACAAACACTAGCCTCTGAGATCACAGACAACACTCAGATCCAGAAGACCTGCATATGGGTTCTGATTCTACCAGTAGGCAGATAGTTTTCTTTCAATCATTTGATCTCACTTTGCTAATTTAGTAAGTGGCGGTAAGTCTACATTTTCTAGAATCATGTAGAATTACTGATTCTGAGGCTTGCCATTCCACCATCAGTATTAGAAACTCAGAGATGGGGAAATTTGTTAGAAGACTGTTTTACAAATCTCCCCAATGTGATCCACATAAAGTGGATATGAGGAAGAGTAACTGGAAATGCCAACAAGTCATTCAGTGGACAAGTGCACTTCCAGTCCCCCATCACACTTTTCTCACTGATGCTACAGTCCATAACCCCTTTTCCCATGAGAAACCACAGAAAGTAACTTAGGTGTAGAACTGAGGAATCTTCGGACAGTGGCCAGAGGAGAGGCAAATAGGCACAGCGTCCATCACACAGCTGAGAGAAGAGGGTAGGCAGGAAGAGAAACATGTCCTCGTGTCAAGCTGGTCCTGTTTCTATGAGACACTTCTGATAAAATATTGTTAGATGGTGATTAGGAAAAGGCTTACTTAGATACAGGTTAATGCAGACCTCTGGTCTGATTTGTAATTCAACCAATATGTTGACATTATTTCAATGGGAAACATGTATTGCAATCTCTAAATGAGAAACACATTATTAGATGCTGGCACATAAAAGCAAAAAACACAATCAAAATGTTTAGGTCTGGTCTCTGGATTTATTCACTGAATCATTTTTGTCTTTTAGTATTACTATGAAATTACACTGGCCATCTTTTAAGTACCAAGCTTTCTTTGAATCAATACCTACATCAAAGTCCATTGATGATTATCTTCCTATTATCAGAAGTTAGGAGACAGAGAGCAATTTTTTAAGAAGTGATATGAACTGACCAATCAATTCCTTGGATTACTAGTGAGCTTTTAAAATACCATTAGAAATATGTGTTGAAATTAAAAGTCTAACACAGGAACTAGCAAGAATTGTTATAATGATACAAAACAGCATTTTGTTCTGATCAGTAGTTAACCTCAGCATCACATGTCAGTCTTTGCCTTTCCCAGTCAAACTTACACATTGTTAGATTGCTCCCTGGTCCCAAGTGTGATAAGCATTATTAGAGTAACAACATATGTTTACAAAGTGCTTTGTTTTCAAAAAACTTTTCTGGCATTATTTTATGTTTCTCATAGACTCGAAGCAGGCATATCCAGTTACCAGCCTCATTTGAAAAGGCAGTTGAGCTAACATCACTTACTCACAGGGAGAGGAGGAGCTGCATCTGTGCTGAAATGAGAAGAACAACTGGAAGTCAGGTGGTCAGTGAGCAGAAGCAGACCACAAGGGGCCTGGATGTTTAAGGGTCTGCATCAATTATCAGGCAGTAGGATTTTTAATCAGGGATGTGGTCAGATTTACTTGACAGGAAGAGAACCAATGGCAGGCAGAAGACAAAGCAAGGTGAGCACTAACCAGAGATGACCTGGAAACAGGTACCACCCTTTCACTGTGGAGGGTAAATTCCTATGCTCACTGCTGCTAGCCAGCTGAAAATGCTTCCAGAAAACAATCACTTTTTAGCAATCTTGGAAAAAGAGTTATTCAGATGTGAAACTAAGTGATATGACTGCTATGCTCTGTAGACACCTTAGGATCCTTCCAGATGCTCTAACAACTATGCCCAAAGGAGGTGACCAGAGGGCCAGTCTTTGATGCATTCTACTCTGTTCATTTATTCCCTTTAATGTATGAGTTAATGATAGGTTATTTCAGCAAGGGTGTTCATCTCTAGTGTATTCTTTACACAACTTAAAATGTTGACCCTCAAGACTGTAGGAAAATCCTAGAAACACAGGTTCATTCATACCACAAATTGCTACTGAGCCCTACTACTGTGTTCAGTCATGGCTCTGGGTAGAGCTATAGGATGATTGTGAAAACAGTTTTCTGAAAGTTTTCCTGGCTGGTTTTTGCCATGACCTGCTAGCACAGGTGGCCTAGCAGATAACATAGCTTTGAGATGTAGTCTGCATTTGCAGAAAATAGTAAATAATATATAAATTTGATTTACAGTTCAGATATACAAAACATATTTATGTAATAACCTAGGCATAAATTTGGGCCAGTGCTGGCTTTGTCTAGAAGTCATGTAACAGTTAATAAGGCTCCTGAGGAGTGGGGAGCAGAAGGGCTCTCACTAGCACTATTGTAGAGTCCAGGATGGCTGCCACTACCACTACTAACCACTGTGCCACTGCCAATTGCTGCTGCTGTTGGGCAGGGGGCCTGAGGGACTGCATGGCAGGGCTGCTCAGCTACTCTGAAGCCATTAGAGCTACTGCCCATGTACTATGCTGACCACCCACAGATGATGCAAATGTTGCTGCTGTACTTTGTCTCTTGCTCCTACAGTAAAGACCCAAATATGTAGGCATTTATCTTGACTTTACTTGGGCCTGCCAAAGGGCATCCCGACTTGTCTGCTGGCTGGATGAACCCTGGCAAGCTTTGAGCTGGTGCCCGACAAGGATACAACAGGAATCAAACAAAAGAACAGTTCACATGCAGCCTAGATTCTGATTCCATCTCCTGCCTTCATACTTGCTGCCTAGGTCAGAAATTGATGTGATTCTTTTTTTCTAACTTCCTTCAGATTTTTACCTTTTCTGTAGGGTCCTATCCAAATACCTTTCTCTTTTCTTTCTTTGTTTCTCCATAAACAGTATCACCATTTAATATGTATTTGTGAGCAGATGTTTAATTATTTTTCTCCTTCTATTAGAGTCAAATCTCCAGAAAGGTGAGGATTTTGTCTGTTTGGCTCACAACTATCCCCAAGTATTATTAGCAGTAACTGGCACATATTTGCTGGTTATTCACATGATCATATGGGCCATTCACGTGGGCATATATACACATGGGCTTTTATCATTCACTTATATTCAATATTGCAAGCCATACATATGTTTTCCTACATAGCCTTGCATAAGTCCCTTATATTGGAGATACAGTTTTAAAAGCCCTAATTGTCTAAATGTGTAGGCATTTATCTTGACTTTATTTGGTTTGCTCTAGCACTCTGTCCTTAAACGAAACTTTTTTTTTCATTATGTTATCTTCAAACATGAAGATACAATTTCTTTATATTCAGGTCATTTATTGTAAGTTACTTCCCACAGAATCCATAACCTTTACTGTTTCCAGCTAAGCATGTCAATTTACAATATCAAGTTCTACAAAACATAAAAAATGATGTCAGATGTTTAGTCTTTCTCCTTTGCAAATCCAATTTGACTTAAAAAACAGGCATTTATGTAAACTAAAGCAGTATAAAGGAATTTAAACTCCAAACTTAATAACCACCCCCTAGTTCTTTCTCTAATATATCTTTATATTTCTCTAAATAGTTGATTTCTCAAAATTAAGGTCTGGATTGCAGTGATTTTCAAAAGAAATAGCTGATTGTACAAAGCCTACAATACAAAAATAATTAAACACTCGGCTTTCTATTTCTCTAGCTCCTGAGAAATACTGACTAACAATGAAAAATGAATAGAAATGCTAGTGGACCTGATCTGAAGACCTGGTTTTCCCACCTACTAGTTATATGGTTTCCAGCCAGCTTTCTCTTTTCTCTTTCTCTTTTTCTCTTCAACTATTTAGAGAAATATAAAGATACATTAGAGAAAGAACTAGGGGGCGGTTATTAAGTTTGGAGTTTAAATTCCTTTATACTGCTTTAGAAGTATAAAGAAGAATAAAATTAACTAGTAACATGATAATTCTAAACTACAGAGTAATAGTCTAATGAAAGGCATGATGGCTTTGCTTAAAGGTGAAGTCCTCCTTATGACTCTTCAAAGTCAATAAAGTTTATAGTACTTTTTCTTCTTCCCAACCCCCTCAATCAAATATATTATAGAAACTAATTTCTATTGCTGTATTTTGACATATACCTTTGACTGTATTGTCCTCAGATTAACCAGGTGAATATCACAAGGCCAGGATGACTGCAATGGAGAGAATTCACCAAGCAGCTGAAGTGTGGGTGTGTAAACCTTCTCTGCCATTAAAATGATGGGATGATTGAGAAAAGAAGAAGTCATGTGGCTAAAGAGGGAAGGAAAGCTGACTGGCTTCTTTTCTTCTTCCTATCAAGAAAAAAACAAAAACACTTAATTACAGATTTGCTCTTCTCATCATATTAACTGAATAACCTGTAGGATTTAAATAGGAAAAAATGCAAACTCTTTTATTACTAAATTTAAAAAAAATATTAGTCTTAGAAAATGCATGGCACATTATCAAGTTCATTTCTAAGCAATACAAGAAAAAGTAGTGTCTACTTAACTCATAAATTAGAAATACCCCTTTTATTCTTGCTTTAATATTAAGAATCCTGATATTTTTCACAAATATTTTAAGACAGGTATAACTTCTTCAAGCTACACAAAACCTTAAAAAGTAGATGAACTGGGATGTTCATGTATCTTTCACATCACATCATCAAATGGTATCTCTTTCCCCTGGGTTTCACCCATCATATTCTCATGGTTTAATGTATACATACACTTAACTAGACTATAAAGTCATGTACTTATCGAAAGCTGTGTACTATAAGTGTTACTTAATGCTACGAATTCCTTTAAAACTCTCAAAATAAATATGGCTTAATTATATACAAAGATATCTATATCAACTTCATCTGACTGTTTTCTTTAAATTTTGGTAAATCATTGTCAATTGTTTCACTCCAATTCATTCCAAAACCGGGAACTGTTATCTATCTTATAGAAGAGTTATCAAACATTTACAAGGTACAAAGTTATTCATTATAGTTTTAATGTTTTCTACGGTGCATACTTATAAACATTTCAGCATAAGTCTATCATGAACATTAGATAAGTCTACCATGACTGGGATATCCATATGGCATGCACAATTATTTAAACCAGTGAGTGAGTACAACCTTAATATTACCTAAGGTATAAAAGCAGAGAAAAACAGTGAAAAGAAAAACTAATTTATGTAGAAAGGTCTTTTGATCACTAAAAACCTTTGAAACAAATTTAATTTTGTATCTTATTTTTTAAAATGGTATTTTACTGGTAAGTTCTGATTTTGCATTCTTTTTGTAATACAGGCTTCAAATCAAAGGCTTAGCTACTATCTGTGTGAAAAGACAAGATTTACAGAAGACACAGAGCTTAAAATTCAGAATGTCAGATTAGCATTAAACATAGGGTGTTAGCAAAGAGTGATGAGCATCTTGCCAAGAGCAAGCTGTAGGTACCATTACAATTCAGACCATAGAGAAACAGAGGGACAGTGCAGTGTTGAGATACTGACAAAAATAATAGATCTGAAAGAATTGTAAAAAAAAATGTATATATCTATTCTAAATTCTCATTTTCAAGAATATATTAAACAGCAAATAATGTTTTAAATAGTGCTGAAGTTTAATGCAGCTTGTAGAATAACATTAAGTTTATTCTGTAATTTATTCTAAATGAATAAAGGGATATATTCAACAAGATAGTTTCAATGCACCCCAAGATCAAAAGACTTCATAATCTAGGTCAGTACTGCTGACAGAAATATTTTCGAGAAATACAAGATTCCAACAAAAAGGAAAACACCTGCTTTGTAGGGTTCAGGAGGCATGAAGGCCATTCTAGGACAAGCACATTCAGGAAAAAGCTCTCCAACTTTGTTCTTTCCTCTTGGAGGAATCCCTGGACATTTCAGTGAGATACTCTGGTGAGCTGTATTTCTCAGAAGCAGTAAACTGTATATTTCCTACTTCTCCAAACCCAAATTTGTTCCCTGACCCTAACCCATATCTGCTGAATCAGAATATCCAGAAGGTGTGGGCCTGGGAAGGTAAAGCTTACCAACTGCCCTTGGTAAATCTCATCTAGAGATTCCCAAACTATTCTGCATCTGTGTCTTTATGAAATACCTTTGCTATTGGAAATTTTGTTTCTTTAAGCTATAAGTGCATTCTCCAGCCTGTAGTAATTAATATACTACTATAAACATCATTTGATTTCGTGTTGGCTATAAGACTTCAGACTTGTATACTTTTAATTGTCTCCTTTCAGCGTATCTGAAGTCAAAATCATTTCCAGCACACGTGGTTCCAAACTCCATCAAGTTGTGGTCATCTCCACTGTGGTGTGGCCCATACTTTACAAGTCATAATTTATTGCTAGACTCCCTAATCTTCAATACTCTTCACTCCACTTGAGTTATCTGATCCCCGAACATCAAAAGTTTCCATTTCTTCTATATCACAACTCACTAAACTATGTAAAATAGTAAAGATTGCTTTTAGTCACCTTTGTTTATTCACTGAAACAAGACATGGTGAGAACTTGATAAGTGTTTGTGGAACTTAAACTATTAATGTCAAAGAAACTAGAACATAAATAAATGAAAACCTATGTGGGGAGAAACAGTGGGATAAAAATATCCTAAAGGGGTTATTGCCAAAGAGACATTTTCTGTTTTCCACTGCAGTTAAACCTTAAGTATCATAACCATAACCTTAAGTCAATCTCACGAATTCAGTCCTTGATGGGTCTCAGCAGAGATTATTCTCAGGATACTCTGGCAGGACCAAGGTGCCCCATGAAAGTACCACTGTCCAGAAAATGTCTACCTCAGCTTCTACCACTGATATTTAGATACTAATGTTTGAGTTGAAAATAAAAACACACCCTAAGAGATTTAAATAACATGTAACATTTTTTAGCTACTATTTGATGTCATTAGAAATTAAAATGAAAGGATAGTAACTGCCAAAACTCAGACTATGACTAGCCTTTGCAATGTTAATCCTAAAATTAAGTCAGGATTTTTTTTAAGTCTTGACATTTAAAATGGATATTAAAATCTTCTTACTTAAAGATTCTAGATGTAGGAACTCTTTGCTTTAGTTATGTGTTACAATTTCACTCAATCAACTAGTATTTATAAATGACTAACACAGGCCTGGAAGTCCTGTGGGGCACATATAAATCAAGGAGACAAGTCCATGAAATCTCAAAGGGGGAACAGAACATGCATATGGTGACTAGACAGTAAGCATTAACTGTGATAAATATAATAGTATAATTGTAACAGCTCACTAACTTACACATTCGTATAACATATTTTGGGTGTTTCTTTTACTAGGAATCTTCGAAGCAGAGAGAGCTAGTCTCTTCTCACAGAGTTTATAGTGCAAAGAAGACAGTGATCAAATAATCACCATATGTGACACAAGCTATGCAACCTCTGTCAACAGACACGGTACAGATGAAGGGGAAATGCTCTGAAAAATCAGACTTTCCATGCTAACTTATGTTATGACCTCCCTTTTTTTGTATAATGATAATATCAAAATATTCTGAGCAACCTTCAGTTTACAATTGGATTGTCTCAGCCTCATAAGGTGCTACCTTGCCCTGACAAGCAAGCACTGCACCAGGGTGAGAAATTCCTCTTGAAGGCAAAAGTGATTTAACAACTGGCTGATTAATAAACGCAAATAGCTATTATTGCAAAGTCTCTAACTGCCCTGAATGGAGGAAAACCCAAATCTCACTCTACTATCTCACATAGCCTTCTATTCAGTTTCTAAAAAATCACTCAAACTTTCTATAATCTAGCCTTTAGATATGGAAATTCACCCAAGAAGCCTAGTCAGAGCTAATCAGGTTTTCTACTGTCTAGACTTCAAAGGAATTCACATAAGCCTTCTAACTAGTTCTTCAAGATTCTACTATCTAGTCTTTAGATAAAAAAATTCACTCAAGTTTCCTATTCAGAGCTAATTAAGTTTTCTTCAGTCTGGACTTCAAGGAAATTCACTTAAACTTTCTAACAAGTTTTTCAAAGAACTTTACTGTAATTTGATTTACAAGAAATTTCCTCTTCTAGCCCTCACTTTACTTTACCCCCTAGAATGTCTCAATGAGAATGAAAGCCCTTAAGTAGTAAATAAGGTTTAAGGGACTTTATTTTGGTTAATTTTCACTGTGATAAATATAGTAATATTAGTCTTAAACTTTGTGAATCTATGTATCTCTTTTAACCTTGATAGATTGATTTCAAAAAGGTTATAATCTCAAAGGTCAAAATGACCCCAGACTATTCTTAGAAAAAAGGTGATTGTGATCTCAACCCATTTCATATGTTAAAGTCATCCCTCAGCCTGCTGGCAATGTATAAAATAAACCTCTGCTGAAGGCAGAGCAGGAAGACTTGCACCCAACTCTGACTCCTGTGTCTTCCTCACGCCAGCTCCCCTTTGCCCCCCAATTTTTGGAATATCTGCTCGCCTATGTCGTTTCCACCTTAGGATCCTGCCTTTATCTGCCTTTCAACAGCTTGAAACAGGGGCAGGTCCCTGACATATATGCATGGTTCTAAGGGAGCATAGAAAAGGATATGATTCATTGAAAAAGTAATTCACAAAATAAGTTCTAATTTAAACTAAGCAGAGGACAAAAGTACATATACAAATGGCTGTGGAAGTGGAATTATAACAGGTACAGGTTTCATGGGCTCCGCCCCTACTCCAGATACTGGAACTCCAAATCCCATCAGTACCAAGGAGAAGCATGCTGGGACATGAGGGCAGAGCTGAGCAGCCAGGCTGGGATAAAACTGGACATGTGGGCTCTGGGGGTCTCTTGGCCTGGTGGTTTGCGGCTGATGGTTTTGGCCCTCAATCAGTTTTCAGCGTGCCAGTGGAGTCCAAGTCAGCAGAACTGGTAGGACATTCTAGTTAACCTATATTTCTCTCTCTCTTTCCCTGGGTTATTCCATTACCTTTCTCCTTATAAATAAATCCATTATTTAACCTTTTGAATGTGTCCATAATATGATTGAATCATAAGCATAAGCAAGTGGGTGAAGACCCACAGACAGGCAACCCAATTCACATCGGGGTGCCCTGTAACAGAATGTGTAGGAAGCACTAGGAATAGGAAGAAAACCCATGGGCCCAGAACACTGGGCAACATGAGGACAGTGGAAGGCAGGATTCATGTCATTAGGGCTCTGTAGGCCATAGTAAGAACTGGGGTTTTTAAAATATCAGAAAGATTAAGCAGGGGAAGGTGAGATCAGATATAGTTTCTAAAAAACAAAAATACTGTTTACTGCTGAAGAACAGATGTGCAGAGCTAGGGAGCAGAAAGGATGTGTATAGGCAACATTCAGGAAAAATACATGATGCTAGTTTAGTTTAAGGTGGGTAACAAAAACGAGTTTACAGATTTGAAATATACAGGCAGCCAATGTTGATGATTTCAACTATGTAAAAATGGCCAGTGAGGGAGAGGTTTCTGTAAGAAATGACTCCTGACTGGATGGAAAGGGATGGTTGATGGTCATCAAGAGGGGAAATACTGGAAAGGGGCCAGCAGAAGGCAGGTTGTAAGAGTGAGTTTTGCATATCAGAACTTGAGACACACTTGAGAATGATAGAAAAAAAAAATACCAGGAAGCAAATAGATGAGTGAGATCAGAGTTTGTGAAACCCAAGCTGGGGATACATATTTGTGGGTTAAATTTATGTGAAGGAAGTCACCAAAGCCATAAAAGTAAAAGAGATTGAGAATAGTAACTATACAGTGAGAAAAGGAGAAGGTGGGTACCATGCTTGATGGTTCTATTGTATAGTCAGGCAGTTTAATGTGAAATGGGGACTGTTGCTTTGAAAAATGAAAGAAGAAAAGCAAATTCATTTTCAATTGATGAACATAAGATTACAATCAGTACACTATGATTTCAAATACATTTTACTAACCAAACTTAAATTTCCTAAGTGCATGATGAGAGCTCTTTAACTCTTATTTAGCCCAGTCCTTTTAACTCATTTCTTTCAAACTTACCTGCAGGAAATGTTGCCTCAGCCTATTCCTTAGTATTATATCTATATAGTAACCAAAAATAAGATGACCTATAAAGAAATCTTCTATGATCTACAGATACATATATACACATATGAAATCTTTATTCTGTGAAGACAGGCTAAATTTATTATAAAGTTCTCAATACTGGGAATTATTAAAAAAATAAAAAAGTGAAAAGTCACAAGCATTTTAGATAGCAAAGGACAATTATCAGTACATGCAAATTACTTTTTTCCCCTTACCATATTTATGGCACTTCTTTTTTCTAGTAGTATTCGAAATAAGCTAGCTGTGATCTTGTTATCATGGACACCTTGGTCAAGGCCACGGTTGTCATCTTGCATGAGTCTTCGATCCATGATAACTTCGATCTGACCTGACAAACAAACAAACTGGTCAGGGTTATTTAATACAAACATACAGAGAAGATAAATCAATTACAAGGCACAGTCTTGGTTTAAATTTCTCTTCCAGTTAGGAGATAGACACAGCCACCCAGAGGACTGTGGGCTGTGTCCTAATAATAGTTAAAGCAGTTAGTATAAATTTATAGAACAGAACTGTATTTCTGCTGCTGTTCATTAATGTCTAATAAAATCTCCTAAGAAAGTTTAAAATGGGACAAGCAGATGAAAATTAATGTGAAAGTTAAAAAAGCAATCTAAACCGTAAATTAAATCTTCCAACATTTTTGGTGGCAGCATTTGGAATTTAAAATGTATATGAAATTCATCAGGAAATGAGTAACACACATGGGGTAATGAGACAACTATAAAGGGTATGACCTGAAAAGGATGTGAAATAAAATTTATGCTACATCACATGGTGAGTCTTTGAAGAAGCCCTAGAACTTAAAGAACCCACAACGTCCACATTCTCTTCCTGATTACATGTCAGTAAGAACACTACTCTGCCTCCTCAAGCTCAAAAAATAGTCATACTAAGGCTTCTTATTGCTTTAATTGTATGCTAATTAGGATATTATATTAAAACATTAAAATATTACCCAGAGCCATAGTTATATATGCAAGATCACACTAAAAAAAGCTGTGTATATTTAAAAAATATATGTATATTGATTCATGCATCCATCTACCTATTCTTTCTTTCTTAATATTATTGTATTAAGTGACTTTGGTATAATGTTACTGTATTAAGTGGCTTTGGTATAAAAGGGCAATGCAGGAAAGATTTTAAGAATTATTACTCTTATACAGATACCCAGTTCTGTCTAGTTCTTTTCAGTTTGGGTATCTGGTACATAACATTGCCACTAATCATCAGAACTTTCATTGCTACTGCCTCCATATTCTATAAGAAAACTGTCTAGAACTTGCTCCTTAGGCACTGGGGCTAGCTATCAACTAAATATAAGGTACATTCCTAGTTTATGTTTCTCTTCCAGTCAGGAAACTAGTTTGATCATTTCACACCCAAAGTAGTAAATTAGTATCTAGCAATTTCTAACTCTTTTCCCTACTTCTAAATGTTAGTCCATATAATATGTGACACTCACTTTTATGCTTGTAACTTTTCTTTTTTTCCTTTCTCTTCATTAAAATATTTTTCTTTTAATTTTTTTAAGTTTTTATTTTTATTGAAGTATCATCATTTTATAACCTGGCTAGTGTTTTGATCATACAGTTTCCCCCTCAGAGGTAGTTACCATAGCACTCTTATCACTGAACCATCTGTAGATCTGTAGTCCTCCACCATAGTCTACTGTGCTCTATGTATCCCCAAGCCCCCAGAAAACTGCAGGCAAATGATCAGCTTTCAAAGACTGCTTTTAAAGTTTGCCTTTGACTGACATACTGTTTGTTTGGTTTTTCTATATTTCACATATGTGTGACACCATCTAGTCACTTTTCTCTATCTGGCTTATTTCATTGAGAATAATTCCCTCCAGCTCCATTCATATAGCTGCAGATGGCATGAGTTTATCTGTTTTAGTCACTGAGTGGTATTCCAGTATGTGTGTGTGTGTGTGTGTGTGTGTGTGTGTGTGTGTGTGTGTGTATACACCACATCTTTTCAGTCACTAGGTACCTGGGTATCTATAGCAGGGCCAGAAGAATGTTCTTGCTCAAATGAGCTTTACCAGTAAAGTGAAACAACACAGTTGGTTCCTCACTGCTATATAAGACTTAATGTCTAGTCCCCTATTTAGAGCCCAACTTTGAAAATTTCAGACAGGATTTAAAATTAGGTGGCTCAAGAGTTACATACAGCAGAGATGTTTTGCTTTGATTTTTAAAAAAATGTCAACATCCCTGGTGGTGCAGCGGGTTAAAGCACAGCACTAAGAAGCTTAAGCCACTTCCGCATGAGTTCAATCCCCGCCTGCCCCGGAGGTGACCCACATGGTGCAGCAGACCTCTCCTGACTCGCCCGCTGCTCCCCTCAGCAGTGTGCTTCCTCGATTTGCCTGTTCTGCTCCCCACTCTGTCTCTGGTGAATCCTCTCACCCTCCGCATCTCTGGCCTATACCCCATTTCTGTATAAATAAATAAATAAAACTTAAAAAAAAAAGTCAACATTTACAACTGAGTGATTTCACAAAAAATTATAAATTCCTGGACTTTCTTCAAACAATGAAAAATTTAGCAACACTGGCCTCTTTCTCCTTGGTACAATGGCCTGGCACTAGGCAGTGGTTGCCCCACTCTGCACAACTATGTGCTCTCTAGTTCACACAAATTTCCAAGCCCCTGATGAATCCTTGACCATTAATTATCTTCTATTAATATTCATGTCTTTATGCTATGATCTCATGATTATGCCTAATGAAGGCCACAAGGAAAAATGTGAAGTAGTGTAGTTTATGTGTGTGAAAGTACAGAATGTACTTTTAGGTCACATATAATATGTGGGCTTGTGACAAGGGTATACCAGATATCAGCACTCATTTACTATCTGCCTTACTTCAGCAAATATTGGCCTTAGCAACAATTAGTATTAAGAAAACTGATTGATGGAATGTAAATGGTAATTAAATATAGGTATTATGAGGAATAAAGGCCTCCCAACATAGGATTTCTAAAAATTAATCAATGTCTACTACCCATCTTCTCTTTTGGAACCCTAAAATTACACTTATCTCTGCATCCCTGTATCAGTATCTTTTCTACTACCTTTTTTCTTTCAAGCTATGGTGCCCTAAAAAGTTTTTGAAACAGAAAAGAACATAAGTTTGAACAATTATCTCCCACTTTGCTGAATCAGGCAAATTATCTAAACAGAATCTGAATTTCCTTGTCTGTTCAATTATGACAAAGATAAGAGACTTGTGCAAATTACCATCTACTAAGAGTAGTGAATTAACTTCAAAAATAATCAAGATGCAGGGTCTTAGGTTCTCCATTCTTCTTCTGAAGATTGAGGAAATTCATTATTTCTTATTTTTCTCTCAATCCCCAAATTAATTAATATTATGGCTCTCAAAACAAGAAATCTGGAGATGACAATTGAAATATATCGCCAACAGAAAATAACACACTTGGAATTGAAGTGCATAAATATAAAAAATCTAAAAAATACATACCACTTTTCAAACTTGAAACACCCAGAGACTGAGCAGAGAGCAGAGATAAGCGGTACTCGGCATCCTGGATATAAACCATTGTAGTCATTGGATAGACATTTGCCTGAAGAGGCAATTTGCTCATTGTCATTCTAGGTTGAATCTGTAAGACCAAATAAATCCCTTTAAAAAAAAAAGAAATCAGTAATACTTATATGTGTACTTTAAAAAGTTAGTAATGGGGGCCCTCCCTGGTGGCGCAGCGGGTTAAAGCACAGCACTAAGAAGATAAAGCCATTCAGCATGAGTTCGATGCCTGCCCTGGAGGTGACCCACATAGCATGGCAGACCTCTCCTGACCCGCCCACTGCTCCCCTCAGCAGTGTAATTTGTATGTTCAGTCTGTTCTGCTCTCCACTCTTGTCTGGTGAATCCTCTTACCACCCCTGCACCTCTGGCCTTTATCCAGTTTTGTATGCATAAATAAAGAAATCTTAAAAAAAAAAAAAAAAGTTCATATTGATTACAGATCTTCCCCAAAGAAAAAAAGGTACACCTTCCTTTCTCAGTCAGAGGGAGAACTAGTTTAAAAATTAAAACATTCCGGGCCCTCCCTGGTGGCTCAATGGGTTAAAGTACCATACTATGAAGCTCTCAGAAGCCACTGCAGCACAAGTTTGATGCCCAGCCAGGGAGCTGACCCACATGGTGTTGCAGACCTGCCCGCTGCTCCCCTCGGCAGTGTATTCAGTACATCTGCTTGTTCTACTCCCCACTCTATCTCTGATGGATCCACCATACCTCTGGCCTGTACTCTAGTTCTATAAGCATAAATACATAAATCTTTACAAAAAATTAAAACACTCCTCAAAACAACATAAAGGAAAAGGATGAGGATCTTAGATAACAATTTTAAGTAAGAAAAATAAAATTTGTCACGATGTTTCAAACAGGCTTTCCTCAGGATAAAAATACTTAACAAAAGTCTTTTAAGCTCTCCAATATTTGCATAAAACAAATTATAATGGTATTAAGCATTCATTTCTGATTTAAAATTAACATACTACTTTTGTAATGAATGCTAAGCATAATAACTATTCCCTTTCAAGAAACATCTTATAATTCTTAAATCACTTTTAATAAATACCACAGATCTCCTTATCAAATCCTCTAACATATGATATTATAATAATCATATACATATTTATTTTTAAAAACTAATCAATGATTACTCTTTCTGTTCAGTTTCAGTGTAAACAGTTTTCAAATGTCAATTTTTCTTGTTTTTGTATCCAAATGTATGAAATAAGACTAAATTCATTTTTTGAGAAATGCCTTAAGTGAGTCAGGTTTAAGGAGAGTCACTCAGTTCTCAGAAGGACACGTCAAGTAGAGACCCTGCTATCAGGAATCTTATTCACAAAATATTAAAAATGCTATGTCTTTTAAATTCCTGGAAGTTGGGGAATATAAAGTTAACATTAAAAAAAGCACAGTACTGGGTATTTCAAAAAGGAAATCTTTAATATTTACAACCCTGTGATATGTCCTCCAGCTTACTGGTTGTACTGAATAGTGCCTTGCCTAGTCCCCCAAACCCAGGCCATTTTCACCCAAATGCTGAGTGAATGTGATTTTATTTTGGAATAGGGCCTCTGCATATATAATCAGTTATACCGGATTAGAGAAGGCTCTAATCCAATGACTCCTGTCCTTGTAAGAAGAAGGAAATTTGAGCAGAGACACGCCTAAACTCACATGGAGAATACCACGCGACAACAGAGGAAGAGACTGGAGTGATGTGTCTGTAAGTCTAGGAATGCTGAGGATGGTTTAAAATCACCGGAAGCTAGAAGAAGCAAGGAAGGGAGTATGGTCCTGCAATGGTTTGATTTCAGATTTTGTGACCAGAACTGTGAGGGAATACATTTTTGTTGTTGTGAACAATCTAGCTCAAGGTATTTATATCGTAATGCTATGAAATTAATAAACTGGTGAAGAAACTGTAAAGTATGAAAAAAGAAAAACTAGTTTAAAAGAATTCCCCTTTTCAATTACAATCTTCCCATTTCAAGTTATACTTATAAAAAGTCATATTAAACTGCTGTAACTGTTATCTTCATTGCTCACTGGTAGGGTCTAGATGCCTAGTTTTGATCAAGTATTCTTCTTTTCAAAACTTAAAAAAAATGGCCTTTTTAAAAAGCAGACATAGTTAGATTATAAACTTAAAAATAACATTTTCCAATTTATTCAAAAGCACAATCCTTAAAAATAAATTAACATTTTTATTCATTTTCACTGTTTTTTTTTTCATTCAGATATACACCCACACCTAGAAATAATTGCTTCTGTAAGGTTTAAAGAAAAGTCTTCCTTTTATATACAAGAAAAATGAATCACCATAAAGTCAAGGGCTCATTTAACAACCATACAGCTGAAGTAGAATTAACATGTTAATTCAAAATGTATGCTGCAATTTTTATGCGTTGGAAAAGGACTAAATTTAACTTTTGCAGGAAATCATAAGAAGAGAAAATAATCACAATCCTTTTCACTCATTTCAGTTAAAGACCGGGAGGGGGGGGGCAGGCAAAAAAAAAAAAAAAAACTTCCATGAAATTCTTTCTATTTATTACCAGAAATTTCTAAAATACTAGTGCCTCAGAAACACAGCTTTGATGGTATCATTTTTCAAAGACATGCTATAACACATACACTTAGAATAGAGAGCTGTAGGTAAACAATTAAAAACTTGGTAGTTAATTAGATTAACTATTTGAAAAATATTTATGAACCAATTTCCTTATTACCATATCAAACTACTTGATGAACTTTTGATTAAAGACATACCTACTCAACATTTCTAAATAGATGGATACTTGCATTTGTATATCAATATCCACATATGTATGTGTATACAAAAACAGACCTACTCAACATTTCTAAATAGATGTTTACTTGTATTTGTATATCAATATCCACATATGTATGTGTATATAAAAACAGACATATATCACTATGCAGAGGCAAGATTTTACTGAAATCTAGAAGCCACTTATTATTATACATTAAAAAGTAAATATGGAATAACCAAAACATTCACGAAGTTCCTTATGAGGATAAAAAAGATATAAATTCATTCATCTCTAGTTATATTTTCTATTAGATAAATGCAGACATATTTTGGCATCACAGTGTTTATAATGCATAATGTCATTAAAATTTCCTTTGAAACAATAAGCTCTCACAAATTAATGTTTTAAAAATCTCTCAAAGTCTCTTCTGACTTTGGAGTTCTGGTTGAATACAGAGGTTACAAGTATCTTTTAAATTCAGTTTTATTTTGGAAGTAATTTGCATCGCTAAATTTATTTTCAAAGAAACCAAAGTTAACTGGCCCACTGTCATATATAAAAGCTTCTCACTAGCATAGTTATTACACAGATATTTTAAAGGAACATTACCTGGTATCCATTTAGGTCAGCATAAAATTTATTTTGGCTGTTTATATTAGAAGAAATCTTCATTGCAATCTCTCGGTTATATTCTTTTCGGATGTCCACAATATTGGAAACTTCCAAAGACTGTCCTTCTAACCCTAAATTTAAAAGATTATACACATGAATGGAAAGAGATAAACTATCTCACTTTTTAAAATATATTTCTCTGAACTCCTTCCAAAATTACAAATTTCTTATTTTGATTTCCTAACCATTCATCATAAGCTAAATAGTGTCAATTCAAAATACCCTTTTCTAAAATATTACTTGTAGACTAACATTTACTAGTGAGAAGAGAAAGATGATAAGATTGGGATGAGATAAAGGTAAGTGAAATATAACATGTGAATGATCCTCCAAAGCACCCTACAGTGAAAGACATTCAAAAAGAGAAAAGGCCAGACATACTGTATTTCAGTACATTTCCTTCTACATGGCCATTACCTAATCTAGCTGCTCCAGTCACCTTCATCATTCTTCCCTTACCTACTAGAAATTCTGAGCACTAAGAATTTATACTCTGTTGGTTCAATAGACAGGGGAGCCAATGAAATGACTTATGGCTGAAACTGGTGTTAACGTATTTGTAGTTATATAGCATAATGGGGACAGTTCCCCAGAAATTAAATAAATTTTAATTGCGTTTGATATCTCTCAAGCTCCCTTGTTATAGAGTGATTCAGCTTTCCTTTGCTCTATAAAAGCAGACAACAGCTTGGAAAGATCCCAAACACATGCAACTTTTTTTGTATAGGCCTAAAATGTTTGCAAATTTCTATTTGAATTCTATGCTCAGGTTATTCCTTGTTTAGATCTACTTCAGAGATGGAGAGAGGAGTTTGCAAAGAAATCCAATGCTCTTAATTCAATTTGCATGTTCACTATAAAAATCATGAGATTTTCTAAAAAGAAGAACAATTAAGAATAGTCAAAAGAAGGAATTGGTTCCATTTCACACAGCTGAGGTTTTCTGAGTTTTCAAGAAATCAGGACACTGATCTACAGTGTATAGTCATTCAAGGAACATCCATATTCTCCAAGTTGCCCAGTTCATTGGCATATATAAGCTACACTACTCTTAAGATCCTCTGTATATTTCTTATCTATCATAAGTTTCCTCTTTAAGTTTTCCTTACCCCTTACATAGAATCTGTCACTCTGAGCTAATCATCAACACATTCTTTAGACAAAAAGGACTGTGTAAAGAAACCTCGAGTAGAAAGAAGAGAGTAAGAGAGACTTTTTCTAAGAGTCAAGAGGAATCTCTAGGGTATACAGAATTGTGACAGTAAATGAAAAAAGGAAGTTTAGTAATAGGGAATTTTATAGCAATATAGCCCATCTCAATAAGCAAGAAAATATCAAGTAAATGAACCTAACTTTGTTTAAAGAGATTAGAAAAACAGAAAGAAATGAACCCCAAAGTCAGCAGAAGGATGAGAATAAGAAAGAGGAAGTTTGAATCTGGAATTTGTGAAAAGAAAGTAAACACAGTCTAAGCACAACAGATTTAGATGAAAATTACATTGCAAATTGTAAAATATTACTAATAACATGACAATACTGTATGTTCTGAATTTCCACAACAGAAGCTTTAGAATGCTTAATTATTTTCCTGGTAGATGCTCTTCCAATGTAAACTCCATCAGAGAAAATTTCAATTTCTTGCTATGACCATAAAGTTATGATGCTTGTTATTCATGGGTAAAGGTGCCATTTATTTTTGGTTTATGGTCACAGTCTGAATCAGTACCCTTTGTTTTACATATATATATTTCCTTCTGAGAATTACAAGGAGGACAAGTGAAGACAACTAGAAAACTGGTTCAAATATTTTCACTATTGGGAAGTTCAAGTATTTTCACTACTATTGGGGAGTTAAAAGAAAAAAAATCACATATATAGAAGATTGAGTAACAGCATATTCTTGAACTAGGAAATGTGTTATTTTAAACATAAACCTTCCTTTCAGTATGCTTATATTAATTTGAATTTTATCCCACATGATGCTATTCCAAGACCTCAACAAAATAAGTTAAGTACCCTCTTGTTGCTAACCCTCACACCCTGAATCCTTGAAGAAGGGAATGGAGATTGCTAGTACAGGCAACGGAAGGTAAGCCTATAGCCAGAGCAAAGGGTAGAAAGGTATTTTTCTAAGAGCAAGAGTCTTTCAGAATCCTTGATTTTTCTCCTTTCTGGAAGACTGTTAGCTTTCCATAAAGCATGTTTCGCACACCATCTTTGTGTTCCAGTTTTAACACTATTTTGGGTCTCTCAGAGATGCTAAGTCACTATTAAACAGAATTGTAAGATGTGAGGGGCTGTCCCAATCAAGCAGAAGTTAGCTGACACGGGAAAAAGCAAGCTGGGCTATAAACAAGGATCAAGTTGACTGTCAGATGAAAGAATATTCATTATGAGCAAATATGTGTATATTAGAATATAAGTACCTCATGAGTAGTGATGATATATTTGTTTCCAGGACATAACAGGTGTACAGTAAGTATTTACTGAATGAAGGGTGGCAGCTCTATGGGAAATGACAGCAGCCAATGACTTCTGAGTGCTTACTGTGTATCATATGTTTATTATTTGTTTTAGCTCTAACACCTCATACAATCCTGACCCGAAGCCTTGAGAAAATTCTTTGCTCCAAATCACAGGAGAGGCAGAATCAGAACTAAACCTCTTAACCATCAAGTCAGCCACCTAAGAAAGCTGAAGTTACTGTGGGCTAAAGGAGAGGAGAAGCTTTGCAGTAACTAAGTACAATGGAGAGCTTCAGTTAATTTTTAAAAAGGAGACTAGCCACAACCTAAAATCTGATATTACACAAAAACTATGAAATAGTTAACTAATAAAATAAAACTAAGGATAAGGTCTGTAAGAACACAAAACTTTAAAATGCCAGTCACTTTAGAAGTCACTAAAGCAATAAATATTAAATACTAAAGATATGGTTATCACTTACAAATTCCTTTTCACTAGTCCTTCTCTATGAGCACTAAACACAGCACAGTAGGTTCATCGGGCATAGGACCAAGTGCAAATTGGGCCAAATATGCTAACTGTCCACCAAGAAAGAAATAGGTAGGTAAAGGAAGAGAGAGCTCCCAGTCCTGACATATAAAGGCCTTAAGAAAACGGGTACTAGAATATTTGTAGGGTGTGATAAACTTTATACTGAAAACAGAAACAAAACACAATATATCTCTGCACATATGTGTTTGGATATGGTATATGTCTGTAAAGACCTCTGTATTATTTCTCTTTAGTAGCAAATAGGAACCAGGCACAGATTCCAGGATTTTAACTTCTATATCTTTAATGTGTGACATTCCTGTCAAGAATATACAAACATATTATTTTGATACATAAAAAATAATTATAACTACTAGTAAAAGAAGAATGTTGTCTATGAAGGCAGGGAATACATAAAACAAAATAGGGAAAAGGGTCAAAGATCAAAGACTGGGCCAGGTCATAGCTAACAAGCCTGAGCCGCAGGCTTAAGGCGTTATCTTGAAATACTGGTCTCCTAAGAGTCTTCTCTTGGAGAGTGGGTCAGGAAGTGAGTGGACAGAAAAACAAAAAGGTATCACCCTCTTCACTTTGCTACTTAGCACCCGTCTTAAGGAATCCAGGATGGTACTCCAATGACTGCACAGAGCAAAGCTAGAGGGCTTCTCTCACACATCCCTCAAGTGTAAAACAAAAGGTGAAGGAAACACCCAGAGAGGGTTTAACATGAGGGATGCAGATGGAAAGCCTGGGGGTGCATGGCTCTAAGGGCCACTAATGGCCTCAGGAGAAGCCTAGTTGTCATTCAATCTGCACAATATCTGCCATCAGATAGTTGTAAAATTCTTAAAACACAGTTCTTAGGCTAAAATAGGATTTTCTTCTCTCTCTGTGTCTTGGTCCCTATTCTTCCAACATGTGTCTGGACAGAGAGGGTGACAGAGCTGATAATTGATGATATAAATAGGACAATAACAAATGTCCTGAAAAACCAGGACTTCTAGTTTTGAAAATCTCCTCTTCAATTTGGGGAGTATGCTGGCTTGTATATAACTCATCAAAAAAGTAAAGATAGCTTTCCCATTATGTATTTACTTTTGTTATGGTGAATTTAAACAATTTAACTGGAAGCTGACAATCATGGCATTAATCAACACCCACTCTTTACTACATACACTTAAATGTCAATTGTCACAACAGAGATAAATTTAGTAGGTCATCACGGAGATGATGTTTCTAAAAAGCAAACACTATGTTATATTTTTTAAAAACTGTGCTCATACCTGGAAATACCAAGAGTAAAAGTGGTAATAATTCCCACAACAGGGTGACCTTTTCTCCATGTTGACTTATTCAACTTATCATCCATTATAAGATCTAATTTACCCTCTGAGGTACTTGCTGATTTCCAGGTCTGTAAATGTTCACATTGATTATTCTCCACAGTGAAAATTTTAACATCTACTTTCATGAATACAAATTATAGAAGATTTCACTCTGAGTCACAAGTTAAAAAAATTTGAAAGCACTCTCTTTTAATTATAAAATCACAGATAACAAGTTTATTTACTGATTAATTAACAGCTAGGCCCAGTCCACATATTCAGTTTCTCATATCAATAATAAAATACAAAAATAAATGTATAATAGGAAAGACTGATCATACAGACTGCAAATTCTGGTTAAAGGTTAGATCAGTTAAGTACTTGAAGAAAAGCTAACAACTAAAATATATACAACAAAACTCAGAACCTGCTCTTTTCCCCTAATAAACACTGATACAAAACACTAGGTTTTTTGAAAGCTCTGTTTTAGAGGATATAACATATACATGAGTAACATTTAAAAAAATCCAAAATAGATAAAGTCTAACACAAACCCCTCTCTTGGGGGTAAAGAAAGCTGTTCACAAGCTGGGAGCTTTCCTGTTACTTTCCCTTCAATCCAGGTAGGGGTGGCCTGGGAGAGGCAAGCAGAGGCCAAAAATTCAGGAGTCTGTCTACATGTTCCCTGTCCTGTGCCCCATACACATTCAGAAGGTCACTCTGAAATTTTCTAAGCCTGTTATCCGAAG